CTCTTCTGGCTTGGAGAGTTTCTGCCGAGAGATCTGCTGTTAGTCTGATGTGCTTCCCTTTGTGGGTAACCTGACCTTTCTCTCTGGCTGCCCTTAACATTTTTTCTTCATTTCAATTTTTGTGAATCTGACAATTAAGTGTCTTGGAGTTGCTCTTCTCGAGGAGTATCTTTGTGGCATTCTCTGTAGTTCCTGAATTTGAATGTTGACTTGCCTTACTGGGTTGGGGAAGTTCTCCTGGATGATATCCTGCAGAGTGTTTTCCAACTTGGTTCCATTTTGCCGTCACTTTCAGGCACACCAATCAGATATAGATTTGGTCTTTTCACATAATCCCGCATTTCTTGGAGGCTTTATTTCTTTTTACTCGTTTTTCTCTACACTTCTCTTCTTCCTTCATTTCATTCATTTGATCTTCAATCACTGATACTCTTTCTTCCAATTGATTGAGTCAGTTACTGAAGTTTGTGCATTTGTCACGTAGTTCTCGTGTCATGGTTTTCATCTCATCAGTTCGTTTATGGTCTTCTCTGCATTGATTATTCTAGTTATCCATTCTTCCATTCTTTTTTCAAGGTTTTTAGTTTCTTTGCGCTGGGTACGTAGTTCCTCCTTTAGCGCTGAGAAGTTTGATCAACTGAAGCCTTCTTCTCTCAACTCGTCAAAGCCATTCTCCATCCATTTTTGTTCAGTTGCTGGCGATGAGCTGCCTTCCTTTGGAGGGGGAGATGCACTGTTATTTTTTTGAATTTCCAGCTTTTCTGCACTGCTTTTTCCCCATCTTTGTGGTTTTATCTGCCTTTGGTCTTTGATGATGGTGACGTACCTGGGGGTTTTGGTGTGGGTGTCCTTTCTGTTAGTTTTCCTTCTAACAGTAAGGACCCTCAGCTGCAGGTCTGTTGAAGTTTGCTTGAGGTCCACTCCAGACCCTGTTTGCCTGGGTATCAGCAGCGGAGGTTGCAGAAGATAGGATATTGCTGAATAGCGACTGATGCTGTCTGATTCTTGCTCTGGAAGCTTTGTCTCAGAGGTGTACCCAGCTGTGTGAGGTGTGACGTGTTGGTCTGCACTTTAGTGGGCGATGTCTCCAGTTAGGCTAGTCAGGGGTCAGGGACCCACTTGAGCAGGCAGTCTGTCCATTCTCAGATCTCAATGTGCTGGGAGAACCACTGCTCTCTTCAAAGCTGTCAGACAGGGACATTTACATCTGCAGAGGTTTCTACTGCTTTTGTTTAGCTATTCCCTGTCCCCAGAGGTGGAGTCCACAGAGGCAGGCAGGCCTCCTGGAGCTATGGTGGGCTCCAACCAATTCAAGCTTCCAGGAGGCTTTGTTTACCTACTTAAGCCTCAGCAATGGTGGGTGCCCCTCCCCCAGCCTCGCTGCCACCTTGCAGTTAGATCTCAGACTGCTGTGCTAGCAATGAGGGAGGCTCCATGGGCATGCGACCCTCCAGGCCAGGTGTGGGATATAATCTCCTGGTGTGCCGTTTGCTAAGACCCTTGGTAGAGCGCAGTATTAGGGTAGGAGTTACCCAATTTTCCAGGTGTTGTGTGTCTCTGTTTCCCTTGGCTAGGAAAAGGAATTCCCTTCCGCCTTGCACTTCCTAGGTGAGGCAATGCCTCACCCTGCTTCAGCTCTTGCTGGCCGGGCTGCACCTGCGGACCAGCATCAACTGTCCGACATGCCCCAGTGAGATTAACCCGGTACCTCAGTTGAAAATGCAGAAATCACCCACCTTCTGTGTCACTCACGCTGGGAGCTGGAAGCTGGAGTTGTTCCTATTGGGCCATCTTGGGCGCCCCCCACTTCTTCTTTTTTCTTTTTCTGAGATGGAGTCTTACTCTGTCACCCAGGCTGGAGTGCAGTGGTGCGATGTTGGCTCACTGCACCCTCCGTCTTCCTGATTCAAGCGGTTCTCCTGCCTCAGCCTCCAGAGTAGCTGGGACTACAGGGATATGCCACCATGCCCGGCTAATTTTTTGTATTTTTAGTAAAGATGGGGTTTCACTGTGTTAGCCAGGATGGTCTCGATCTCCTGAACTTTTGATCTGCCCATCTCAGACTCCCAAAGTGCTGGGATTACAGACATGAACCAACATGCCTGGCAGAAGGAATAAGTTTTTCAGAGTCCTCAGGAAAGGTTAAATTTTATCACTGGGAACAAATACTTATTTTCCTTGAAGTGACAACCTCTCACTTCATTTATTTTTGAGAATGAAAGGTGTACTTTTTTTTTAGACCGAGTCTCACTCTGTCACTTGGCTGGAGTGCACTGGCATCATCTCAGCTCAAGCAGTCCTCTCACATCAGAGTCCCCTGTAGCTGGGACCACAGATGTGTGACACCACACCAGGCTAATTCTTTTTTGCATTTTTGGTAGTGAGAGGGTTTTGTTATGTTGCCTAGGCTGGTCTCAAACTCCTGCAGGAGCTCAAGCCATCTGCCTGCTTTCACCTCCTAAAGTGCTGGAATTTTACAGCCGTGAGCTACTGCGCTGACCCAGTTGTACTTTTAATAAAAACGATGTTCTGTGAAAAAAGTGATTGTTCAGTTCACAATTAAATCACTAATTCTTAAAAACAAAAAAAACAAAACTGTTCTGCAGTCAGCAGAAATGCTTCTTATTTCCGCTTATTCAGAATATTAAAGAGACATGCTAAAGTTTAATAACAACATTAATTTTTACTGCTTCATTAAAGACATTCTTAAGTAATTCAGGCTGTGTTTTTTAACGGTAGGAGACAGCAAAGAATAGAATGACTACTAATGTAATTGGTACCACTGCCTTGATTTATGCTGAGAAACCAACAGTTTTACCCACTTTTGCTTTTATACAATCATGGCAAGTGTCAACGAAAAAGCAGGCAATGACTTTGTATTCCTTTTACAAATTTTTAAATTTTTTATTCAGCTTTCTCAGGTATGATTCAGTACAGTGTTGGCCAGGCACAATGGCTCAGGCCTGTAATCCCAGCACTTTGGGAGGCTAAGGTGAGCAGATCACCTGAGGTCCGGAGTTCAAGACCAGCCTGGCCAACATGGTGAAACCACATCTCTACTGAAAATACAAAAATTAGTCCGGCATGGGGGCAGGTGCCTATGATCCCAGCTACTCAGGAGGATGAGGTAGGAGAATCACTTGAACCTGGGAGACGGAGGTTGCCATAAGCCGAGATTGCGCCATTGCACTCCAGCCTGGGCAACAAGAGTGAAACTCGGTCTCAAACAAACAAACAAACAGTGTTGACCTGTTAGCCCTTCTGGAAATCAGTCTTGGGGATCCCGAGACGTCCACAGAGCACATTTGGAGAATTACTGGTTTATCACGTAGGCACAATGCATTAGGCTTACAAAGTTTAAAGTTCATCAAAGACTGGCCTCTTAAAAAGGCAGATGAGTTTTTAATTCAAACAACAGAAAACACATAGATACATCACGAGAGTATACTACAGAGAACTAAAGAGAAAGGAAGCTAGGAAATCTGAATCACGTTTACATTTGTTAAAGTTCATCACTACTGCTTTGTAAAACATTCTTGTTCTTCAGTGTGTGGTTAGAAGAGTGAAAATATATTTGGTTTGTTGCCATGGCCTGTTAGGGAGAGTCAGTACTTATGGGCATTTCTGACTGGTTACATATAAAAGACTTCACATTACAGGACATGAAGTCCTCAGAAAGAAGAAGTCAGGAAACCCTCTGCAAGTCAGGAGCCAGGAGAAAAATTTGTAAAAACTGCTTCGGTAAAGTAAACAGCAAAGCACACAGGAGGCAGTATTTTACTAAACATATGTGATACTAATATATTAACAGTTTTTGAAGTAATGCACATTCTTATTTTATAGACATGCAGATGGATCTTTGAGCATATTTGATGAACAGTTATACTCATTTACGGTAAGTGGCGCTTTTATTGAGATTGTATTTTCATCATACACTTGTATCTGTTTCATGCTGAAGTCAAAGGCATCTCTTTTTAAATCTTCCCCATTTCATGTCATATTTAGTCATCTTAAGTGTTGTAAAAAGAATGTGCTGGAATAAGAACTGATCTACAGCTCTGTTTAGTTAGTGAGCTTGTATGAGTAAATATACTATCCAAATAACGGAAAATGTATCTTTTTTTTTTTTTTTTTTGAGACAGAGTCTCTTTCTGTAGCCCAGGATGGAATGCAATCGCACAATCTTGGCTCACTGCAGGCTTTGTCTCCCAGGTCCCTGTTCAAGCAATTCTCCTGCCTCAGCCTCCCGAGTAGCTGGGATTACAGGCATGCGCCACCGTGCCCAGCTAATGTTTTTTTTCTTTTTTTAGTAAAGACAGGGTTTCACCATGTTGGCCAGGATAGTCTTGAACTCCTGACCTCGTGATCCACCCACCTCGGCCGCCTTAAGTGCTGGGATTACAGGTGTGAGCCACTGTGCCTCGCCCAAAAATGTATCTTTCTAAAAGGTAATTGTGAGCTGTCTATAGGACCCTGCAAGTCACTACCCAATTCTCGAAGCCATTCCTCCTTCTGTTCCACACAGGTTTCCACCATGCACATTACCCAGACAAGATATGGAGGTGGGAGTTTTAGTAACTATTCCTCGTCCATTCCATCGACTCCCAGCACCAGCCAGGAGGACCTTCAGATCAATGTTCCTCCCACTGCCGACACACCCACGCCCGTTCGCAAGTGGTCCAAGCGCTGGTCCAAGCTGTTTACATCTGAGAAAGGGAGTCACCCAGACAAAGAGAACAAAGCCTGGGAGAGCCATGCTGACACCATCGGGAGTGGCAGAGCCATCCCCATTAAACAGGGCATGCTCTTAAAGCTAAGTGGGAAATGGCTGAAGAAATGGAAAAAGAAATATGTTACCCTCTGTGACAATGGCGTGCTCACCTATTATTCAAGCTTAGGTGATTATATGAAGAATGTTCACAAAAAAGAGATTGACCTGCGAACATGTACCATCGAAGTCCCAGGAAAGAGGCCACCCCTAGCCACATTGGCCTGCGCGCCCATTTCCAGCTCTAAAGGCAATTGCGTATCCAAGGACATGAACAGTCTATGTACCTCAGCCAATTCAGACCCCAGGCTGAGTGACTCCATATGCTCCAGCCCCAATATCTCCAGCACCACCCGCCCCAAGCTCAACCCACCCCCCTCTTCTCATGCCAACAAAAAGAAACACCAAAGGAAGAAATGCACCAACAACTTAAAAGACAATGGCCTGTCTGGCACTGCTGAAAAACAAGCAGAAAACTTTATGATTGTGTCCCTCACTGGCCAAACGTGGCACTTTGAAGCCACATCATATGAGGAGCGGGATGTCTGGGTCCAAGCCATCGAGAGCCAGATCGTGGCCAGCCTGCAGTCATGCGAGAGCAGCAAAAGCAAGTTCCGGCTGCTTTAGACTAGCACAAGATTATTTACTAATAATCTTGATCTTTAGCCACATTTCTCTGCAATAAATTTGCTATGATGCCATGATGGGGATCAGCAATCTACGTTTTCCAAGTTCCTTCTAGTGGGATCCTGCTAGGTTTTGCTATTGGGAGGTACTAGAGAAACATAGAAAGGCAAGAGAATGGAAGAATAGATCTCCTTTTCCTGTTTATTTGCTGTCCTTGCCGATGTTCTCCCAAGAACATCTCCTTGCCGTAGGAGCAGTAATTGTTTCAGTTTACCAATTTTTTCAGAGCCTCAGAAAGTGCCTCTTCAGAGGTAACAGCAGCAGTTGGAACATATCTCTCCCTCAGAGATCTAGTCTCAGCCCAGGAAGGCTTTTACTCTGAGTTTTAATTGTAATAACTCCAATCTCTTCCCTTCATTCATCTAAGCTTCTGAGGAGGCCCCTATGTGGCCAGGAGATGGTGGTGATGGCTGCATCTTGCAGTCATTTTCTTTGCTTTCCACAGTGTTGTTACTTGTTTCTCCTATTTCCTATGTGGTCAATGTTTTAATATTAACTCATAGTCATAGTGTAGTATTAGTACTTTACGTGAAATGAAATGTTTTTTTATAATGTAGCCATGGCCTACCAATAGCATATTTTCTTTTAGATTTGGTAATATATATTTTGCTTCAGTGACTTTATACCCTTATTTGTTGCCCAAATTAGTTTTTCATATACAAAACATCCAATATTACCCTGGTCCCATCATTTCTTCTGATATCCATTGTCCTGTGATTTCTCCTGGAAAGTGAATTGTTTATCCATCCATTTCAGTCTGTGAAGTCACACAGGTCTATCTATGTAGAACTCCTGTGCTCCAATTTATTCCCTGTGTGAAACTGGGCAATTCATTAATCTGGGAATATGTTTCTTCATATGCAAATCAGAGGTAACACTTACCTCACAACATTGTTTAGAGCATTAAAAGAAATATCATATGTCTTTCACAGAATTTCCCTGGGTGTGAATTGAACAATGTCAGTTTTTCTCCCATTTAATGTGAAAACTGACTATATAAATAAACATATTGTAGAGGAAACACAGGCTCAGATAGGATATAAATTGCCCGTATCACAAAATTAGTAAGTGATGGAGCTAGAATACAAACAAGATCTACCTATTTACAAAAATCAATAATTTTTCCTCTGAAACAAGTCACTATATGCCTTTGGTTTTTAAGTGAAATGTACTCAACTTCACATTTTAAAATATGCCACAAATGTACCCATAAAGCAAGAGAACATGACTATTGAGTGGGATCACAATTATTAAAAAGTTTGCCTTGGGAACAAAGACGGTACAATGACCCTCAGGGAACTGAATTACATACCCAGAGGGGACATGTGCCATCTACCTGGGCTCAATGGGGGTTTTCCAATGGATTCTTTGTAAATAGGTGTTGCACATACTTCTGTGTCTTTAAGCTTTCCTTTATAACTTCCAGACCTACTTCTGATGGTGATGAGTTTCTTTCAAACCTAACCCTAGATATGGGGTCAGCTTTAGGCAAAATTATGAGTTGCTAGCTAACAAAAGTAGCTAATATTTTAACGAAATGTCTTATTATTAAGCTAAATGCCAAACACTATTCATTACATGTATTAATAAGTTATCACAATTTTATGAAGTAGACATGACCATTTTTAATTATCAGTTGAAGAAACTAAGACACAGAAAACTTAAATACTTTACCCAAAGTCATGTTGCTTGTGGAGAAGTTGCAATTCATCTTGGTTGTCTTGACCTAGAGTCTGCGTGCTGGATGACTATTTTAGACGGTTATGTGTGCATGCAGATTTCAGTGCTTGTCTGGTCCCACTCCCTCCTAACCCTTCTGTCCCCTAGTGACTTCATCCTGTTGCCTACTTCTCAAGACTACTCCTCTTCTTGGACACTTTTTCATATTCCAGAACTAATCATTCTGTTTCTTTTCTTTCTGCTCATCATGCCAAAGGCAAAGTTAGCAGGGTAGCTGACATAAAGGAATTCATACCAAACAATGGCATGCTCAATTTGTAAAATTTCCCAGAGTTAAATAGGTAGAGTGAAAGGTGTAATTTCTTCTTTGAAGAAAACAATGCTGAATTTTACTTAAATGAATGATAAGTATAATTTTGACATGTATTTGCAATCTGCATGAGTAATATATCCTATCATGCTTCACATTCTCACACTCTTATACCATTAAGGATCTCTACATCTGTCCCCAATCAGCTACCACTTCTCTTCCTCAGCTGTTATGACAGGTCTGAAAATTAAATTTTAAAAGTAGTTCCTAGGTTTTAAACATTTTTTAATTTTTTTCCTGGAAGGACATGATGGGTAACCTCATTGTCAGCAAATGCCTTAGGTATTAAGGAGAACAGTCCTAATGGCAATAGCTAATATTTTTTGCCAGAGCCAAGTTTCAGTATCTCTTTGCAACTGTGTGACAGCATGATCATATTCTTATTACAAACCTATGAAGTGGCTATCTGCTTTATTTTAATTTTATAGGGGAAAAACAAGTCCTTAGAGAGTCTAAGTAACTTGGCTCTGGATTTGAACTTCAATCTAGCTATCTCTACAACTTGACCTTTGAGCATTATACCACCTTATATGTCAACCTTACCTTGAAAAGCAACAAGCAAACCAAATCAATAAAACAATAAGAACAACCTATAATAAAAAGCCTTCTCAGCCGGGTGCAGTGGCTTACACCTGTAATCCCAGAATTTTGGGATGCTGAGGGAGGAGGATGGTGTGAGCCCAGGAGTTTGAAACCAACCTAGGCAACACAGAGTAACCCCGTCTCTACAAAAAAAAAAAAAAATCATATCGGTGGACATGGTGGTGCTCACCTGTGGTCCCAGCTACTCAGGAGGCTGAGGTAGAAGGATTTCTTGAGCCCAGGAGGCAGAGGCTGCAGTGA